GAGTCGTATGCTTAATGAACCGAGCTACCCAGGCACCCCTGAAGTTACTCATTTTTAAATTAACTTTGTCATTTTTGCCATGAGTTTGATATTACTTGTTATATAGTTTTATCACTTTTTAAATGAGATATAATTGACATGTAACATTGTATTCATTTCCAGGTGTACAACTTAATGAGTTGATATTTGTATATCTGATGAAAGGATCACTGCAACGAGTCTAGTTAACATCCTCATCACACCTTATTGTGGCTTTTAAAAATGAAGATGTAAGCAGTACTGAGCGATTTGCATTAGGGTGGGCGCCGTTGATTAGCATTTGGGAGGAACGTGATTTAGAAGAAAGAGCTCAGCTTCACAGTCAGAAAAATGTAAGTTTGGGGCCAGCAAACATTCTTCATGTGCCATCACATGGTTCTAGGGCAAGTGTATAAAATTCTTTGACCTAGTTTCTTGATGAGGAAAGGTTGTTATTAAGATTACATCCAATACACAAATCACCGGGTTCCTTGGATAGAATGGCTCAGTAGACCGAAGCTGACAGTATCAATTACAGACAGGTTTGTGCCGACCCCTCTGGACTTCTACTGCACACAGTGTGCATAAAGTCAGAGAGTACCCAAAAGCTTATAAATTATACTTTACCTCCTTCCTACAAAGTGCATTTTGAAAAACCACGGTAACATAAATCCATAACTCACGGAATAAAGTTGTGTTCACTAGTAGCCTTTGACTTTTCTTTGGTTTTGCTTATAGCAGAAAATGATGGCTTTTTTTTTTGCCTTTGGAATATAGCGTGATGGCAAAAATTAGTAGTTGTCTTTACCAATCTATGTGGATGTTGAACTGCCTTTTTAAAAGAAGACTGGTGTCCACTTATATTTATTATTATATATGTGTGTACACATTTACATATATACCTATATATATATATGTAAACTATTTGAAACCTAGACTTTGACTTAAATGAGCAGATATTGCAATGCTGTTGTTGTTGTTTTTTTTTTTTCAACGTTTATTTATTTTTGGGACAGAGAGAGACAGAGCATGAACGGGGGAGGGGCAGAGAGAGAGGGAGACACAGAATCGGAAACAGGCTCCAGGCTCTGAGCCATCAGCCCAGAGCCCGACGCGGGGCTCAAACTCACGGACCGTGAGATCGTGACCTGGCTGAAGTCGGACGCCCAACCGACTGCGCCACCCAGGCGCCCCACAGTGCTGTTGTTTTTAAATGCTATGTTTTCTTGTTGGTAGACAAATCAGAGAATTTCTGTGCACTTAGAAATTAGAAAATAATATGGCTCCCCCCTGCCCCAACTTAAAAGCAGTTCAGAGATCTCTTATTTTAAATTTGTGTTTTTTTTTTAACGCTTATTTAGTTTTGAGACAGAGAGAGACAGAGCATGAATGGGGGAGGGTCAGAAAGAGAGAGGGAGACACAGAATCTGAAACGGGCTCCAGGCTCTGAGCTGTCAGCACAGAGCCCGACGCGGGGCTCAAACTCATGAACTGAGAGATCATGACCTGAGCCGAAGTCAGATGCTGAACCGACTGAGCCACGCAGGCGCCCCAGAGATCTCTTATTTTAGATTACCCTAAGTTTCTATGTAAAAGCTACGGGTTGTAATGGAGATCAGACTTTTGTATGTGTAACAGGTTGTCAGCTATAATTAAGCAAAATGCCCAGAGCTTCCCAGCTGAACATATATGACAATGAACCAGTGATCAAAAAATCGTTGTTGAATGAAACAATACCAATAAGCGACATCTGTGATTGCTCAGAACCTCATATGGTTCTGGCATGCATCTACTTTTCTATAAATCTTGAGCTTCAAAGAGGCTGAAAATTCTTTTTGTATTGATTTTTTGTGGTTGATTTTGTTGAATAAAGCTAATGTGTGCAGTTGTTGAGAGCGAACATAGGAGGGGCATTGGAAACATGTGGCATTTGTCTCATTTCCAGGACAACAGACTAATACCTCTGAAAAGAAAATTGATTCAGAATGTGATATAGAACATACGCTAGAGTGGATCACCAAGTCCTGAATTCATCTTGAGCATGAAATGTTAGTACCTCTGAGAATATTCCCTGGAAATCCAGAAACGTCGTCTGGTTCTGACACGTTTCTTTTTCTTTCAATAAACATCAGATCCGGGCTGGTGCTAGCGTTAAGCCCTCGGGTGGCTGGAATGAAGCTGCCATCCAGAGAGATTCCACTATTTATCAGACCAGCTTCACGGGTGACTTAAATAGTCCTCCCCCAACATTTTGACACAATGCAATTATTTTGCTTTAGACAGTCAGCATTGGTTTGTTTGAAAAGGTTGTTGCTAAAAGTACCATCTTCAGATAAATGTGCTCAGATTTGTATTTTAGGTGTATTTCACAGCTACGCTTTTATAAATAGGTTGGAAATAGCTAGATACTGATTTATGGTTGACAGCTAGTTTTAGTGGTATTCAGAATTTCTGCAAGGATACTTTGACTTGTTCCCTTGAGTCTTTACAGCTCATGAAAACTCCAAACAGTTTTGAAGACAAGAGGAAGAGAAAATATTTAACACAATATGTTCAGACCTCAGTGGGTTATCTTGTTCCAGATTTTCCAAACCAGCTTAAGTGTCATACAGTTTTTCCGCAATTGTTTATTTGAACACTTATTGCAATAGTTTCGGCGTGATCAGTGGATAACAGAAGGCCCACTCGGTGCCCGATTTACACCTGGGAATGCCTAGTGCACGTGCTCTTTACGCCTTGTGTTTGTGTCATTTTTCCTGTTGGTTTAAGAACATGGATTCTGGAGTTTGTGTCTCCCAAATGGGCTCTGGAGGAAATGTTGCCCAAGTTAGTAACTTCTTTTGTTTCGGTTTCTTTGTCTCTACAAATATGGAGGCTGATAGTACCTCCTTCTTAGGGAGGTATGGGTGTTAAGTAAATTAGTGCACCTAAAGATTTTTGAAATGATTGAATTAGAGGGCATCTGTGATAAATATTATCTTCTATTACATGTATATGTATGTGTATGTGAATATATGTATACCCACACATGTATGTGTGTATGTGTTCATAACAATATGTAGTGGAAATAGACATTGATAAATCTAAAATAATTAGTGTTCCTTCTTATATCTTATTCCTATTCCCATCATCAGTTGTGTGGAAATTGCTCTATCACCAAATATGTGTTGAATAACATAAAATACTAAACTAGTCCCTTTATCAAAGATATAAAGACAATGCATGAAGCTGGATGCTTCCAAGATTTTTCACTCACCCCTTTTCCCTCATTTTATCCTCAAATATTTTAATACATTTTGTAAGTCTCGAGAGCATTTAAGCTACTTGAATGATCCATCCAGAATCTTCCAGATGTGTTTATATAATTCATGATGTGTGGGCACTTCTCTGTGGCGATTCTACGTGGCTATCAGGTTTGAGCAAAAGGCACAATAAAGGATTTAATCCAACATTTCTCTTTATTTCCCTTATGAAGAGAGTGGTCTTCCTACTACCTGGTAACTTTTGCCTCTTCAAGCAGTGTTTCTTGGTGCCTCCAATAAATGATACTTTCCCACCATTCCTTCACATGCTATGCTGTTTGCACGATCTCCCCAAGGTTCTTGTGTTTCTCTTTGTCAGCATCTGTGTTGGAGTATGGTCACAGACATGGTGTGGGTGAAGGGCAAAGAGGACATCCGTGCCGGAGATTCGGGGAGCCTTTTCCTCCCAAAGATGAAAAATGTTCTGGACTCCCTCTCTGCCTCTAAACCCGAAGATGGTGCATGTCACTTGACTTTGCTCTGTCAGTGCTCAGCACAGAGCAGTAACTACTCTTCCTGTTTTACGTTTTTCATTTTAAAGATCCAATTAACTTCTCTTGAATATTGCAGCGGGCCTGCTGACCTAATAATTCTTTCATCCCTGATTTCCATCATTATCTCTGCTTGAAGTTACCTCACACGCACACCTCGGCCAGAGAATACGTGTGAAGGACAGACAGTCCCCTCTTACGGGAAAGGCTCATCTCATCTGAGAGCCGAGTCTCAAGTGCATAACGAATGCTATTTTCTCATTTTCGGGGGCATTTGTCAGACATGTTATTTTAGGTTTAGATGTGGTATCACCGACTGCAATAGCATGGCTGTTCTAGTCTTCAGAAATTCTGAGACAGGCACTGCCTGGGGGTGTCTAGGAACGTTCATCACTCATTGAGGCTCCAGGTTCAGAAGTCCTGAACCTTTTCTCTCCAGGTCTGTTCCTTTGTCACTTTCTGTGACTCCCAACACCAGTCAGTGGTTTGCAGTGCGTTCTTTCTGATACAGAACCGTCACATCTCTGAGAAATATACAGTTCCTCATTCTCAGGGATTCAGCCAGTGAGAGCAAGTGTCAGTTTCCTGATGATGTCTGAAAGGATGACTTTCTGGGGGCGCCTGGGTGGCTCAGCTGGTTAAGTGTCTGACTTCGGCTCAGGTCATGATCTCGCGGTCCGTGAGTTGGAGCCCCGCGTCGGACTCTGTGCTGACCGCTCGGAGCCTGGAGCCTGTTCCAGATTCTGTGTCTCCCTCTCTCTCTGCCCCTCCCCCATTCATGCTCTGTTTCTCTCTGTCTCAAAAATAAATAAACATTAAAAAAAATTAAAAAAAAAAAAAAAGGTTGACTTTCTGGACTCCATTCCTGGGAGGCAGACTGCTGGTAAAATAAAGAGAAGAGTAGACTAATAAGAATGACTATTTACAACTATTAATGAAACAATAAGAATAACGACTATTAACAACTGTTATTGAGAATCTGCTTTGTGCCAGACGCTGTTGCAAGTGTTTTATGTATCATAGGTCTGTTGAGTACAAAATAGCACAATAGCCCTGCAAGGTAGGTGTTATTTCTCCCACTAGGTAGGCTGAAGCCCAAAGGGTGGGAGATTCTTGATTAACATGACCTATTACTAAAGAGAGAGGCAAAGTCTCCTGGTGACTGAATCTTTTTTTCTTCTCCCTGCAGGGAAGCTTCGCTGCTGAGATGCTCTGGTGAGTTTCGAATTTCTGGCACAGTGTGTTTTGGGGAGGAATGGCCCACTGATGGAGATGCCAAAGGAAGGGTCAGCACACTGTGAGACAGCATGAGACTTTCTGTGTCTCAGCCGGCCGGGTCATCTGTGGGTGTGCAGTCCAAGGGGAAGATGTGAAGTGATTGCCACGCAAGGCCAACCAGGCTTCCTGCCTTCTCCACAGTCTACTTATCAGAAGGCCTTATTTAATTTGTTGGGGTTTTCTTTTAGTAGTAAAATATACATAACTTCATAGTTATCATTTTAGCCGTTTGTAAGTGTACAATTCTGTGACATGAAATACATTTACAGTGTTGTGTAACCGTCCTATACTCAAAACTTTTTCATCATCCTTAACCAAAACTCTGTATCCGTTAAGCAGTGATTCTCAGTTCCCCCTCTACCCTGCCCTCCCCTCCCCTATAACCTCTGTTCTTCTTTCCAACTCCATGACTTTGCCTATCCTAAGTATTTCAGATATATGTGGAATCATATGTGGAATCACACCATGTTTATCCTTTTGTGTCTGGTCTCTCTAAGCGTGCTCTCAAGGTCCATCCATATGCTTGCGTATATAAAAATTTAATTCCATGTGCTCGCTTCGGCAGCACATATACTAAAAATTTAATTCCTTTTTATGGCTGAATAATATTCCGCTGTGTGTATATATCAGTTTATTTATCCCTTCATCTGTTGATGGGCCTGGGAGGAAGTAATCGAATGATTTCCTCTCCCAATTCCTCAAGGAACCTCCTGCCATACGCTGCATACCCAGTGTTTTGTTTTGGAGAGTACGGAGTGCTTCATGGTGTCTTAGTCAGTTTGGGCTGCTGTTGCAAAATAACATAGACTGGGTGGCTTGTAAACCACAGAAATTGATATCTATATGGTTCTGGAAGTCTGCGACCATGGTGCCAGCACTCTTGGGGTCTGGTGAGAGCCTTCTTCTGAGTTGGATGCTACTGACTTATAGCCACACAGAGTGGAGAGCAGAGAGAGAGGAAGCAGGCTCTCTTGTGTCTCTTCTTATAGGGACATTAATCCTACACATGATGGCTTCACCTTCATGACCTAATTACGTCCTAAAGGCCCACCTCCTAATACCATAACATTAGGGGTTAGGATTTCAGCATATGAATTTTGGGGGAGGGCACAAACATTTGGTTCATAACAATGAGATCCTTCAGGTTGGGCCATATAAAGACTGGCAGTTTATAATCAGTTTCTTTCTTTCTTTCTTTCTTTCTTTCTTTCTTTCTTTCTTTCTTT